TATTAGATTTTTTGTCATTTGAAGAGAATATTTAAAGCTTTATTTTAAGATTTATTTAGTCAAGAAAAAGGGACAGTAATTTTCATACAAGAAACTCTGAAGGATCCACTATAAAACATATATCAATTTCAAAGATAAATAAATTTTAAAAAAAATGTATGAAAATTAAAAAAAATATATATGTGCATGATGTGTTCAAGACAAAACCTGCACACATAAACATATTTAAATTCAGTCTGAAATATAAATAATTTTGAAAATATGATTCAAAAGATTTTTTGAATCCAACCATATTTTGAATTAGGGCCTGATTTTATTGAATTCAACCCTATTTTGAATGAACTACACACCTGTAAGATTTGCACCTGTGCGGCTGTAAAGATTTACCTGTTTACCTGTTACCTATCAAACAATTTAAACAAGTGGATGTTAGTGAAATAAAACAGTCTATATAAGATCCAATGGTCTATATTTATGACAGGTTTCCCAGTGGTTAATTTCATGTATTAGACCATGCCAATAGAAAATGACCGTTTTTCAAGTCTCCGTCACAGATATCGGGATTGTTACACCTGTGTGAATGAGGTTCCTAATAAGGGACAAGAGGTCAGGTTTTATGGCAGTGATTTGTGTTATATGGAGGAGAAATCAAGTTAAATAAAGCAGACTTCATACAGTGTGACTTAATATACTATGAAAGGCCGGCAGATGTTAATCATGTCGCAAGATGTCCACAGGTTTACGTGTAGAGTAGGCTAAATGCTTCAGTCAATACAAATTCACTTGTTGCTAGATTTAAAATGAAATTTTTCACCTTTATCTCCACATTTGATCAGTTTTTGTCGGTTTCACCCAGAGAGAAAAAGAAAAATTTGATATTTTTCTGAGATAACGCAGGTTACCTCAATCTTCGATAAAAATGTTAAGACCTTTTGTCTTTACACCTGTAGAGAATGTCCAGTCATCGTCCAGTTAGACTGGTCAAGGCTGGACAGACACCAAGGTTACCCGTCTCCCTCACCCTCCTGCAGTCATCTTATCTCCCGGGACTTAGCTCACAGCTACAGAATGAGAGGCCCTAATACTATTTTCAAATATTTGTGCAAAAGTCATTGATAAAATTGTAAGTGTCAGGTATATTGTGGGGCTCCGATGAAATTTCAGTTATCTTAATGAAGTTAACGTGTCAATGTTACAAAATTTCTGCTGATTTGAACACCTGCTGATTCTCTGAGGAGACGTTTCATACTTCACATATAATACATGTTTTGTAGCAAGCATGTATCTTCTCTTAATATCCCCTCGCAACGAAAGTTTGAGGGGATTTAGGATTTAGCCCGTACATATGTACATATGTTACACTCTTTGTCAGCACTCTAGCGACTTCATTTCTCAATTTGTATCACTTAAAATGTCTTGTATGAACAACAATTAGTTCCAAAGTTCCAAAATATTTTTTATTAAACTTGTGAAGAGAATTAAATAACCAAATTGTGACCTAATACCATATTTATCCAGTAATAAGCCCATGCCTAGTAATAAGCCCACCCATATATATTGTCATTCAGTAGATATATGTTAACTAATGTTATTTCGTTGCCCTGTTATAAGCCCACATCCCTAATTTGGGTCACAGGTTGTGTGTTCTTACATCAAATCTTTAGTTTGAGTGGAAGATAGTTTAACAATTAAACACCACATATGTCTATGTGAAAAACTATAGATATGAACTTTGACCATGTGTCATTTTGACATAGCATGCATCTGACATGTATACAAATCCCAGAATATGTTCTGACTGATGACTGGTGGGTCCCTTGGTACAGACGGGTCCAAAACAATTCTTTATTCTATCCTACAAAAGTACCTGTTTGTCCATCCCCCAATCTGATGGTAGTTATCTGTATGTTTTGGTGTTGTCCCCTGGTCAGAAGTCAGCCTAGATCGTGGGGGTCACAATTGACCCCTAATCCATCTAATTGACTCCCCACAAAGCCGTAATTATGGCTGCTGACCAGTATGTTTGGACAGTGCCTTTGTGTTACACGAAGCAACATTTCTTTCCATTTCCATCGAAGATCCCACACGACACCTCACTTTGTCAATAAGATTGTTAGTGATTATCTGTAGTCGCTTTGAAACGTACCAGAGAGCAGTAATGACAATAATTTTATATTCTTCGGTCGAGAACGTGGCAGACACTGTAATTATCTGCCCCTTTCACTGTGTTGGGTTCAGCAGATGCGACCATGGCGACACATTCTAGCACACATCGTAGTGCATATGTAATTACCTGTCTTAGGGATATGCCCTTCACTGTAGACAATGGAAGATAAAATCTGTCAGAATGCCCTCCTCCCAGCGTCATATCACACTTGTCATTATAAAAAAGTGAAGAACAGTTTCCAGTCGAAAAGAAAAGTTTCCTAAGATCAGTTTACTCACAAAATTACCCAGTAGAAAAAGTCTGTTCAGGTGTTATTTGAATTCTCAACAAATGAAATCTTTTATATTGAAATAATTTCAAGTATGAATAATTAAATATATTTAGCTTTTATTTATTAATACGGACATTTTTAGACATTCATTTTAGGTAATATTAAAACCATTAAGTTTCAGTAGAAGTATCATTTGATTAATCTATCAGAAATAATTACTTGATTATAATGAAAAGTATTTTTTACAATAAAAGTACTCTATTCATGTTGAAAATTCAATTTGAAACATTAGTGTATTTTTAAAACAAAGCACAGAAAACCGTCTGTGATTGAACATATGTACATTCCTGGAGTAAAATAATACACCTGTAAATTTAATTATCAATTTTTATTTTCTCACCTATTAGTTAATATCCTTCTATAGTTGATTTTGCTTTTCTTAAGGCACAGGTATATCAGTGAACACACCTGTAATAGGTGTGAGACACACAGGTATGCACAGGTAAAAATACCAGGGTACATGTACACCCCCCACCTGTCACATGTAGCTCATTAATTAACTCTATAGGGAAGTTTTCTCACTGACAATACCTATCAATTTACCTGACCATGTGCTCACCACTGGTCAAGTTTGGCCACCTCTCCCCTGGTGACCTCTTTGATGTTTCTTAAAGGTAACCGTTATAAAGGTGAACATCTATTGTTCTAGAAGAGATTGTTACCAATGGTAAGAATATTACATAGACCACAGTGTTCAGATTTCTTCAACAGTTTTCCTTTTGATTTGGATGTGATATGGTGCTTTTATTACAAGGTATTTTCTTAATCTTGTTGTTCAATCTTGGTAGGTGCTTGCATTTATTTCTGTAATGTACTTACCCGATATTTCTTTTCAATATAGTTTTTCACTTCTATCATTTTTATTGCTGTTAATTATTTTGTTGATTTATATTATATATGTAATATTTTGAAAAACAAAGAATTTCCTCATTCTTAAATGTGGTACTCATATCACCTTTTACACTAGTTTCATCTTTTTTATTTTTAAATGAAGGATTTAACTTAAATTTCAAAGCAAGAATTCATTCAAACAATGAATTATCACCAGTTGATTAATTTAAAAGTGATATTTTTATGTCAACTTACTATCACCACATAAGTGCTTGACCATTTAACTCTAGAGCTTTGAATCATTAACTCTCTGTTAATGAGATACATATATAAATTACTCAAAATTTTATTTGTTTTATAAGATAATTTTAAGCAAATTAAATCCTTTAAACTTCACAGAAATCAATTGAATTATGCACTTGTATTTATAAACTTTCTGTAGGTAAAACAGAATTTGTTTTGATTTATCGAATAATCTTCATGTGTGTAATTGAGCGTCTCAAATTTGACAAGTTTAGAATCTACAGTACATATGCTTGTATTTACCTTACGTCTTAATACCTGTGCACACAAAACGAGACAGATGTGTGACGTGATCGAGTTTCAGAGATAAATTCTGCTTGCATTGAATCTGTAGTGTAACGTTTCAGTACAGGACTGTTCACTTTCAGGGTGACATGACCTGTTACTCTCTTTTGATTTCTATCTCGTAAAGGTGAAAATACTCCGGTTCAACACTGCAACAGATCAATGACTCAAATTTGTTTAGTGAAATCCAGAGGTTTTTATTTCACAGGTAAAATTATAATCTACACTAACCATTACAGTTGTGTATATGCTCTTTTGTAATACTTTAGTTTAATGTCTTATAGTTTCTTAAAATGTGGATACAAAAACTGGTTTATAAACACTTTATTGATCAATGAACTCAAAAAAGTTTTGGGAAACATTTAAAAAATTTGATTACGCAGTAAGATGAACTTTATTTCATTCAATTAGCGGTACGGTGCTGCTTTACCGTTATTTTATAGACACGCGTGCTGAGATCTTGTGCGGCTGTGTTTCAACATACATGCTAAGTTTACGCTTATTGTAGACATATCATGCTGAGGTCTTACTATAGTTGTGTATCATTAGGTTAATGCTTAGTTTACCGTTATTTTAGAGGCAGTCATGCTAAGATCTTGTGTGGCTGTGTTTCACCAGACACGCTGAGTTTACCGCTACTTTAGACCGACATAAGGAGATCATGGATAGATATGTTTTATATATTGCATTAAATGATATAAGAAGATGAGACACCTGAGGTTTGTGTTTGGTCATCAAACTGACCGGTGGTTAAGGTCTCCTTTGTCCATGACCACGGGTGATCAAATCCCGGTCAGTTTCTCTGAGGGACAACTGACAGTCAGTCTGTGTTTCCCCCACAGATTGTGAAAGCATTGAGTACTTACATACATTGGTGGCTATTGTCTCGACCATATCGTCGATCAGTTTAAGGAAACAGCACAATGGAATTTAGGGATATGCCTGAGATTTCCTTAGTAGGTAGATGTCCTCTATTGTACGGGGATTGCTATAAGTAGATTACGTCCCAATAACTGTTATAATACTTCTAATCCGGGTATATCATACAACTTGGCTAATACAAACCTGTTTTGTGTTTTGCAGGAACCAACACCATTGCATAAAGGAAAACATCACAGTCTGTTGGGAGACTTTTACGTCGGAGGTGTGATTGTTGTGATTCAACAGACAAACTCTTCAAAAAGGAGGTGTGAATGTTGATGGTTCAGTGGCAAATATAATGAGGATGTGTATTTGATGTTTATGTAAAGACTAGTCAACGATGGATTCTTCTGTCCAGATTATTTTCGTCATGACTGCAGCGTTCTGCAGCCTGTGTGATGGAATCATATATTACCATATAACGGAGGAACGAGACCCCAAAGTGCTTGGTAATGTGGGTGCAGACGCAAACATTACAGACACCGCGTCAACAACTTTTCGATTTGTGGAGACAGGAAGTCAACATTTAGAAAAATTCAATATCGAAAGTCAATCTGGAATTTTGAGTACTAAGGCTAAGTTAGATAGGGAAGAGCTTTGTCGTTTTAACAAAACTTGCGAATTAAAATTACGAGTTGCTGCTGTAACAACCGGAATTACTAGCGTCCAGTGGTTGGAAGTGAGGGTCGTTGTTGATGACATAAATGACAATGCTCCAACTTTCAAACAACCAACAATGACCTTGGATATCTCTGAAGGGTCGAAGAGTGGTAACACGTTTCCAATTGTCGGAGCAACTGACGAAGACATGGTTGGCAACAACTCCCTCCGTGGATACCAGCTAAGTTCTCCAAGTCAAACTTTCCGATTGGTTGTTGGAGACGAAAAGCCTGATGGAACTCTAGAAGTGAGTCTGCAATTGATTGAGGATATTGATAGAGAAATCAAGGATTCGTATAAAATCTATGTAATTGCAAAAGATGGTGACAGTCCCCCGCGGACGGGAATGTTGACTGTTGATGTCAGGGTAACTGATATTAACGATAACAAACCTCAGTTTACCAAAACCCGTTACGAGGTCACAGTTGAAGAGGACATGGCTGTCAGTTCCAACATTCTACAGATCAAGGCTACGGACAAGGATATTGGACAGAATGGGGAGGTTAGATATCGTTTTAGTGACCGTGTAGGGACCGACGTCACTGAATATTTCAGTATTGATGAACGATCTGGCAACATTAGCCTCATCAGAAAGCTTGAATATGTACAGGGAGGTAGCTACACATTTATTGTTGTCGCTTTTGATCAGGGTAGTCCTCCGAATGACAACCAATCTGTCGTCGTAGTCACAGTGGAAGATAAAAATAACAACTCTCCAGATATTAACATCAATTATTTGACTCCAAAGGATGGAGAGGTCATGGAAAACTCGGCTGTGGACACACCCATCGCGCATATCCAGGCACTGGATGGTGATGTAGGTAAAAACGGGGAGGTCACATGTTCAATTGACAACCCACTGTTTCGCATGAACCCCATGGCTGGGAATGAGTTCATCATCGTGGTGAATGGTCTACTTGATCGCGAGGACCAGATTGAACACGTTATCACCATTTTCTGTCATGATGGTGGAGTGCCCTCGCTCAACAACAGTATTACGTTCGGCATGCAAGTGACGGACGAAAACGATAACCCGCCTGAGTTCATGAACCGTGTGTACAACACCAAGGTGTCGGAGAACACGCCTGCTCCTGCCCTCATAACCAAAGTCAGTGCCATGGACTCGGACCAGGAAATGAATGCCAAGGTCACCTACAGCCTCCCGGAGGATGCACACTCGCTGTTCTCTATTGGTGCACAGTCGGGCATTATTGAGTCCCGTGTACCTTTTGACCGCGAGACGGTCGATCGGCTGGAGTTTCGCGTGTTTGCTGCGGACAATGGCTTAACAAAAAGATACACGGCTACTGCTACTATCATTCTTACAATCACTGATCAAAACGACATCACACCCAAGTTCACACAGGAAGTGTATGAGTTTGATGTGTATGAACATTCTCTTGGATTTTTCGGAAATGTGACAGCAACAGATGACGATTTGGGTGAGAATGGACAGATTTCCTATATTATACCTCCCGAATATATCACCATGCCGTTCTCAATCTCAAAGAGGACTGGAAAACTGGGAACATACCGTGAAATGGACCGCGAGAGGCAAGATCAGTACCACTTTCGGGTCATTGCTAGGGACAACGGTTCCAACTCTCGTGAGAACACAGCTCAGGTGATAGTACGAGTCAAGGACCTTAACGATAATGCACCTGTGATGACATTCCCCAACGAGACCAACAGTTCTATCCTTCTGTCGTACCGAGCTGAACCCGAATCTCTCGTCACAACTATTGTAGCTGAGGATGCAGACATCGGCGAAAATGCAGAAATAAGCTTCATCATTATAAGCGGTGATGATGATGGATTGTTCAAACTTGATCGTAACTCAGGTGAGATTTTATTGAAAAGGGAAATCAAGCTTTTCGAAATAAAGATGTATACGTTGGACATTTCTTTAGAAGATAATGGTATGCCAAAACAGAGCACACGTCATTACATCAACATACAGGTTCATTTTGTCAACAGTACTGTCATATCGGAGGAAGTAGTGGTAACTAGTGGCAACATCCTCATCGCAATAGCGATAGCGTGTATCACTTTTGTCCTCTCCACAGCAATCATCATCTCAATCTGCATCATTCGAAGAATCGACATGAAAAAGCGTAATTACAATTCAAAAAGTGCTGAAGAAATGAAGATTATTCAGACGATGGGTCGAGGAAGTAACAGGTCGTCGTCGTCGAAAGGTTCGCGTGACGAGTTTCTACCTCCACATCACATGTTGAACAGGCCAAACAGGAAAGAAGTCAGTTTTTCTTTGGACGATGAACAGGATAGTGGCTTCACCTTCACCGTTCCTCCGAGTCTTGCATCCTCCGTCCCACACAGTCTTACCTCCTCAGGAATGGTCACCTTCAAGGCGGGTGGCTCCATGATGGACGATCCCTCCAACAAACAGGTAAGCATTCTCATCCTAATTAAAGGGTTGGGGAGGTCACCATCTGGCTATAGCTATCATCTGGCTGGCTAGAAGTGTCAAGGCTGTAGTGGGTGAATAGAAGGTAAAAATAAAAAAGTATTAATTGTGAGCACAAATACTTGTATACTTTTGTATGTAATATAATTTTATTAGAATATTTATCAGGAAATTAAAAAAAATATCTTTAATTTTAGTGTGTAGTGAACACATTATGTAAAGCTTCACCCCAATTCTCGCAAAATTTTAAATGAATTATGCTTGTGAATATCCCAAAACTGTCGAGTTACCATATAGTGGAACATTTTTAATCTGGTTTCATGTAAGTTCAATTAATTCAAAAATTTATATTTAAATTTTACCTACCAGGTAAATGTAATTATTTGTTATGTATATGGTAATATATTTTTTTATGCCTTGGATCAAAAGTGAAATAATTAAAAAAAATATCTACACATACAATTTCAATCAAATTTTTTTATGACTTTGAAAAAAATGGAATTAAAGCTTTTTTCAAAATCTGATTTTTAAATTGATGGAAGACTTTTTTGATTATAGAAATTATTAAAATCTGATCCTCAGAATGATGGAAGACTTATATAGTGTTGTATTTGATAACATAATGTATAAGTCGACAGTTGATATGTCTGAAACAGATATCCGGCTAAAGACTAGCTCTATAACTCTTTACCTAATCCCTAATCAGTTAACTGACCAAGATAGCCAGCATAAGAGCCAGAGATGACCACTAGAATGACCACTTGAGCACACAAGATCTTGTCTCAAGTGTCCAGTGTGTCAACAATAAACAAACTGTCCCCCATTCTGCTCCAGCCCCTCTTGTTTACGAACATCACTCTGATTTAATACTGAGAGTCAATAACGTTCCAGTAATACCTGATTACTGCCTCAGACAGGGTTGTCCTGTGGCCCCACTGACAAGTGCTCGGAAAACACACCTCCATGTTGGGAAAATTGGCAGCTTGCATCTAACTCCTTGTCTGTTTGTCTCGGCCTGATTAATCCTAAGAGCCATGTTTGCATGTTTCTTTAATACTGTGAGCGTACAAACAAGCCGCAATAACACCCCTAACAGGATGTAGGTATCGGGTATCTCCCCGCCTGAATATCGCCACCCTGTCAGCCACGAGACATCGGAGCATCACCTGCTCATTGACTCCATAGAATATTCCCCGAAATTATTTTTACGATTAATGTGAGAAAAACATTGTCACATTTTATGTAACTTAAATTTCTCTTATGTTTGGCCTCATTTGACAAAAGTGATACAATTTAATTAAAGGATAATGCATTAACTGTGTTTTTGTCGTTATCAGACATATCTGTTAGATAAAATTTACCTGTGCTAAGCTGTTTTATAATAGTTATTAATATTGATCTACTAGCTAAGCTACGTAAGACCCAGGCCGCTCTCTGTCTTGTCATTATAACCTAACAATGGGGGGTTGTTAGTGTGGGTCTCAGACAAATATTGAAGAAACATCTAATATTTAATTTTCCAGTATAATGAATATTAATTTACTGACCTATTTATAGATCTGTTAAATTATTTCTTGACATTGTAGACTTACGTGATTCTTTTATCATGGTCAGCAATCTGATCTTCGTTCTAAATCAATATTTTCCTGATCCTAAACAGCAATAAACCATTCAGCATATATCATGAATAATATATTAATAAAACAGATAAGTAATTTAACAAGGTTGATCATTAAAATTAAAAAAATAAAATGGAAGTCTCTACAGGTTGTCCAATTTTATAGTTAGTGTGTTTTGGAACACTTTTCTATTTTGCAGTTCAAAATTGTTCCAGCAATACAGAAATTTCATTATCCATATGCTTTAATGTGGAGGATCATGAAACTGGTTGCATGGATAAACGAGGCTGTTTTGACAGTTTGTTTAAAAATCTCCCGAAATAGACGAATTATATCTCAATTTTAATTTCCATATGTATATCGTAAATTAAATATTGATTAGAGATGTGTAAACAAGCTTTAATTTGAATTGTTTTTTTTAATTTCCAGCTTGCTCCTCAACAGACCAGCAGCCATAGTAGGGATGGCAGTAACCTCTCGGACAACAAACAAAAGCAGGTGCATCGCATGGCCTCTCTCCGTGTCCAACAGCAGCTCCTTATGTCACAGGACGGAGGGGGTCAGTCGGTCTGGAGGAAACACCCACAACTCACAGAGGTAGGTAACACCCCTGTCATCATTGATGGTTGTGGCCCTTCTTCATCTATAGCAAAACTGGATGTATTTATGCTATCCAACCATATACTGTCACAATCACCCCTCCCCCTAGATCTACCCCTCAACCCAAACCCCATCCTAGAGCCCTCCAAACACCATACCTTAGAACTTCACCATTCTTAAAGCATTGGGTTGTTCCTTAAAACCAACTTTATTATCTGCCAAGAAGAAATAATACAAGAACTACTTGTCATTAAATATTAGTACACCTTGATAACAAATGAAAAATAAAATAAGATATTCATGTGTATTTCGTATACAGGCCTGTATTGTAAATTGATTACGTTCAAGTCTGATATTTGTCCATCTATTTACCGATTTTCGACTAATCTCTAAATTCCAAAATGAATTCATTGTACAAACATGAGGTAGCCAGTGATCCAAGAGAGCCTGAAGCCTTTGAATATATTGAGATAGATATAACTTATGTAAGGCTTCTCCGATTTTATATGTCAAGGTTTGGCGACTTTGAGAGATTATCGGCGCCAATTTCACATTTTTTTTACACGTCAATGATTAATCAATAATCCCCGACAAATTGTCTACATAATCAATTTGTATTTCTTATACTTACCCTTAAGAAAACCAATTGAATTTTACTCCCCGCAGATATCTTTTTAATACGTAATTTGTCGCCCAGTGGCCATTTCTAGGGTTGACAAATTAGACATCATTGTCTAGTGGTGTCAGTATTGCTGAGATCTATAAGATAGGGTGGGGAGAGGGGGTAGATGTGACGAGATAAATTGGGGTGTCGGGATAAAAGACTCTCCGAGGTCAACAGTTGTTCAATATTCTCGGGTATCAAAAACTCTGTCATTGTGTTATTAATTGCTTTTCTATACAGGCCACAATTTTTACCTAGGAAGTGTGTAAGACTGCTTATTAGACATTACCCAGGTATAATTTACCTGGCACAGAGCCCCCGGGCTAACAGCTACATCACACCCTGAACCACACCTGTAAATAGTAGGCCCAGATCTGCAAAGCCTTGTTACCTTAATACATTATATTTGTACGAATCTTTAATAGAAAGTGATGTTTGAAAATTATTTAGATTTTTTTCTGACAAGTGTATATTCATTCGAAATTACTAACCAAGACTATATCTAATCTGTTTTAATTGAATTATTTATACAATTTTTTATTTTTTTTTAATTTGATGAGAAAAGCTGGTAAAGGCTTCAAACAACTGAATGTACATGTAGGTAGGGTCCATAAATTTATGAATAGCTTACCAAGGTAATGTAATTTATTTTACATTTTCTTTTATAGATATTTAAAAAATAATGTTCAAATCTCTAAATCGAAAGTTAAGTATAAATCTCTAAAAGTGTTGCTAGGTGTATGGTGTTCAATTGAACCAATTTTGACCCAAAAAACATGATAGAAATTATCGTTCATCTTCGTATTCAGAATTATTATGTTGACAACTTTTTTAAAATTTGAAACAGTCTTTAAACTCTAGTCAATGTAAAATGTCTATTTCTCCCTGGGGTGTAATTCACATGGCAGGTGTGATGCTCAACACTTGTATTTGGGGATGGGAGATATCGCTTTAGGCCCATTGCTAAGATTAATTACAGGGAGAACAGACACAAAACGGATCCTAGAGCCTAAGAATTGTTTTCCCGTGAATCCTAGCTGGTTACACAACTACATGTAGGCCAATCGCCCGAGAGCCGCAGGTGCAGGATAAAATTTACACTGAAAATCATCAAATGAACAGATTTTTTGTCCTGTTGAGACTTTATCTAGCTAACCACGTTGATTTCATTAAGAAATCTATCTCTGTGGTGCACTTTCAAAAGTTCCTCTCCTAATTCCCCAGCCAATTAATTAAGCTTTAAATGTAGGTAGACATTATCTTTTTTGAGTTTGATGCTTGATTTCTTAATTAAATTATTCTAATGGCTGTAATTGATTGATTAGATAATAATGTTTGGTTGGTTTTACAGAAAAAACAGTTGTCAGTACCTCGGTCCCACCAGGAGGGCCACCATGACGATAACCGTAGCGACCTGTCCGGAGAATCCACAACAAGTGACAGTGGCCGAGGTGGAAGTGATGAGGACCTCCGTCATGCAGGAATCTCTCACCCGCCTGAGTTAGGTAGGTATTTCGGCCAATCAAGGTTGATGTTCGCTTAACACAACTTATATATAGATATGTCCATATAAAAAGTGGAACAGGATCAATTAAACTTTATCTAAAGATTGATTTCAAGTAGATTTTGTTCAGAAAAGTAGGTGAAACCAGTGAATTGATACCTCTCCATTGGTTATATACAGAGTATTGTACAATTTTATTTTAATGTGAATAATACAATACATGCCAAACTATAATCTGGTATGAAGAATATAGAAATAAATCTATTTTATTCTAGCATTGTAAATTTATTGTTTCCAGTGTCCTCAATGCACCACGATATTTAACTTTTGATACACTTTTCTAATGGCAAAATAAAGAAATGATGTTTTTTTTTCCAGATCACAGTGGAGATTCTCGCCATTTCTCAACCACAGACAGTAGCGGAGTTTCTTCTCTTTCTTATAATTCAAGTGCTGTGAATGCAGGAAGACCAATGTTTTCCACTTTTGGACATTCTAACAATGACACATTTCCACGGAATTCTAACAGAAATCCCGTACCCCAGGGTGGGCGCAGTCACTCGAGGCCTCCTCGTCAGGGGCAACGAGTGCAAAGGCTACAATCGGACAACTATCCCCCACACCATAAACAATTTGTTGACATTCCAAGGGCGCCGTCAGCTGATCTGCGCTCAAGCAGATGTTCTGTAAACAGTGATAAAAACCAAAGAACAAATCGTCTTCAAAGTGCCACACCGACATTTGACGACACGCTCAGTGAGAGCTGTGCGACGACCAATCGTGATGATGACGATGTTACGACAACGTCGGGAAGCTATACTGTGAATGCTGATGATCTGTGTAATGAAATAGATGAACTCTTCTTGAAAACTGACACAGTTGTATGATAGTTTGTGATAAGTGGTATAGGAGTGAGAGAATATCTGACAAAGACAACTTAGGGGAAAAAAAGGAGAAAGTATGAGAGTGCGAGAGAGAAAGAGAGAAAGATGGGAAATAGGGATATGACAGAGACTGAGAAAGGTTAATGTTTAGGTGCTCAGTATAAAATTCTTGCCAAATTTGTTTATATTGAAATGTTCCATAAAAACAGATATTTGTCTTGTCTATGTTAAGTATATATGCTACCTAACTGTGAAACTTATCTCTATTCAGAAGAGTTCCACTATAAAAAGAAATTACTTGAACGTCTTTTACGATTCATATTAAGGACTTATCAATATTAATATCAAGGCGTATTATCAATTGATGACAGAAAATACCAGCATTGGTGAAATTGAGGTATCTTTTATTTATTGTGAACCATTTAATTTTTCGCAAGAATTCAAAATAGGTAACAAAAAGGAACAATGATCAGTACCTGGGATATGATTCTTAACGTTTCAATAAATATTAACGAGATATTTAAATTGTGATCCACTCTCCTCTCAAATGACGTTAAGATGTTCAACATTCTGTGACAAATATTTAATTAGAAATATCATAAGGGAGATAACTCTTATAAAAATACAAATCTGAAATCACATTGTAAGATATAACATAGTGTATATCCTTAAGTTGATAACTTCAAGTGTGTATTGCGACCAGACTAAACTTTTCAGTCTCTAAATTTAATAAGCTGACATTTGAAATACGTTATTTTACTAAAAAAAAATGGCAAAAGAATGCTAGCTTGTTTAACACGAATAATTAATGATGAAATGATGTTTACATTTTGACCAAATTATGTAAACATATCTCGAACATCAAAATGTTTAAACCCAATGCCAAAGAAAAATACCTGTTTGTATACATGTGTAGTCTTTTTAATGTCACATGATTTTTCCATAAAAATGAATTCACATAAAAACAAATCTAACCATTTCCCTTTGATTGTTGATTTACCACAATAAATCTCTTTCAAAGTTAGAACTAAAAAATGTTTTAGATGCTGCGTTAGATGATTGTCTTTTTTTGGTCCATCAATACAGTAGTGTAGATAAAATATTCTAAATTGTTGTCGGAGAATTTCTTTTTACAATTTCATATTTAATTAAAACTTCTTTTTCCTTTTATTGTTCCTGTGTATGATATCAGACCTCTTTGTTGCTATATTTATCATTGTACGTATGTGTATGTTTCGTGTGACAATTGTATATTGGGTATTGTTTTAACAGAGCCAAAATTACACCGTTTTCATTCCTATACCTTTTTTGTGCTTTTATGCATTACAAAACTTAAATATAACAAATGTTAAGAAAGATTAAAAATTAGTTATTTTTAAATTTGATTTTAAAATGCAAAATCACAAATAGATCTTAGAAATAGGCTTCTGACAAATACCCGAAACACAATATATATTTAGTGCAATATTCCGTGTAACTGTTGGTGTAGAATGTGTTAGGACTGAAAGCATTGTCTGAATTGTACTCAAAAGTGCACAGTTAAGTATGTAAGTTCAACTGCTTTAATTCTGCTCCGTAATTCAGCAGATATTTTTCGAAGGGTTCATGAAAGGAACTCCATTCTGTTGCTGTGGTTACGTGCTGTTGTTGATTTGTCATGAAATGTTATGATCCATGTTTTGTTTTGTCTGAAGTTAGTATTACAAAAATTGTATAAAATTGACCAAAATATGAAATATACATAAAAAATACAATAATACAATAAAAAAAAAAACATATAATGAATTATATTCGGTTGTTTTTGTTGTTATTCAAAGTTATTTTAAATAGTAAAGACAGACACTACATATATTGTGAGAACTTGATTAAGATTTTTCAGGTGGAGAATAATTTGTTATGAACATCTGAATGAAACAAGAGAATTCTGAACTGTCAACAAAAATGTACTTCAAACTCCAAATCAATAAAATATGGACAATAAATTAATAAAGGAAAGACTTTCATCAAGATTCTTGAAATTGTACAAGTATTGTAAGACCCTTCGCCCGTATTCATGAAACCGTCCTCATGCTCAAACTCGGATTCCGTGCTCAAGGCCAATTTCTTATTCAGTTGATAAATTAATCAAAATTTTCATATATTTTTTTCTCAATAATTGGGAAGAATGTTTGAGAGATGTTGAGCCAATCATTGTTTGCGATGTCTAGACTTACTTTTTGACCTTGTAACATGATTTAGGCAATATATTAGAAAGTTGGTTTGAGCACAGATTCCATGTTTCAGCATGAGAATGGTTTCATGAATACAGGCAAAGGTGTTCCGGATACATCTTCTGCTTTATCAATGACACCAGCTTTGTATATCTGCATCAAACCCAAGTAATGTCTTGTCCTGAAAGTAATCCTAAGGAAATGACAACGAAATCTCAGGTTTTGACCTTGTAACATGATTGAAGCAAGACACAAGAAAGATGGTTTGAGCACGGAATCCATGCTAAACCATGAGAATGGTTTCGTAAATACAGGTCCAAGTGTTCCAGAAGGATATAAGTATCTCCTGCTTCATCAACGACACCTGTCATGTATATCTTAAGTTTAATCCCAATCCTGCCACGTCCTCAAAGTAATTCTCAGGGTAATGACAACGAAACCGAAAGAACAGGGCACATTTATGAGCATTATTAAGAACTTCCATTTTCATATAAGGCAAGGAAATGGAAAATTTCCCAAAGCAATCCTGATATGACCTAGCTCGAGTTTCCTCTGGCCCTGACACCAGACTTTTGACAGATAGATGTCTGGTGTTGGTCAGACATCTATCTGTCAAAATATCTTCATCAATTTGCATATCTTGAAACCTTGTCTCATAAGTTTGTCCAACATCGGTCACAGGAGTCACAATATTCTGCGCAAGCTCTTTGATAAAAATATCAGCTGTGTAAACATCGTTGGTGAAATGGGGTTGTAACTATCAAGAAAGGGAAAGGTCACGATGGGATAACAGAAACTTTTTATTATACATGTTGTACAGTTTAGTAGCAAGCTGTCCATGTTGGTTAAATATTAAGTAAAGATTGGGGTAAGCGCTAACACTATAGCAAATTATACATCACCGGCAAAACTGTTTGACCTCATAAGTTCCTTATAAACAGGTTTTAATGTAGAGATTAGTTTTTCTAAAGCTCCCAATTAAAGTGTTTTACAGTAGAGTTCACATTTCTAGGGTCCTGCAATGTTCGTTATAAGCATGTTTACTCACCAAGAACAAAATTCATGGCCCCCTTATGTTCATTTTCTGAAGATTTGATTGTACAGTATATATACAAGTATATACCCGCTTGGAGTTCTTTTGAGGTTCTTACTTATAAACATGTTTTACTGCAGTGAAAAATATATTTTTTAATTGCTGGCTTACCTTATAAACGTATTTTATTTGAGATAACAGATGTGTTTGGTCCTTTATAAACCTGTTTTTACTATAGATCCTGGGTATTTCGGCCTTCTAAACATTTGTTTATGTAGAGAACTAAAGGACCAGTTACAAAATGGACCAGGAAGATATTCTATGGAAACATTTTATTTTGATAGCATAGGTCAAAATACACGTCTCTGTGTCCATACATATTTTTTAATTTCGTAGTCGGGATTCGAACATGTCTCAGAGGCCAGAGAGAAAAGTTTCACCCAAGTGGTAAAGGGGAAGCAACTCCAACAAAATAAAATTATAGCTGTACCACGACGATCATTGTTGAATTATTCTCGGTGTTTATTAGTCATAAGCTTTTCTGATTTTAATAAAACAAAAATGGCATACTTTTGCTAAGTAGATATATAGACAACAGCTCAAATTGTTTGCCAAACCCCACCCACAGAGACATATAACGTCTCTGCCCACCCCCCCTAGTAGTCTTACTAAAACAATCAATTGAGTTTTTAAAAAAATCATTATAAATTCGCAATCGTCAACACACAAAATAAAGCCACTTTTCAAACTCTATAAACACTGCAATACAGAATAGATAAACAAAGTTGGTTTTATCAGTACAGACATATTGCTTCTGTTTCCGAGAAGATTGCTGATGACGCTGGATTATGGAATGGAAGGTCTTTTGATGGATGTCATCTTTTTGTGTAATAACGGGCATATTGATCAAATGTCCGATTTGGAGTGCCTTATTCTTATTTTGTTAAACGAACTTATTCACTAATTTCGACATCCATGTCACACCATCAAAAGTATAAGACATTATTCAAATATCAGAGGAATAAGTCATAGAATGCTAAAATATATAACGAAAGAGATCGCCCTCCACCTCTCAATTATTTTTAACTTCTCTCTGCAGTCAGGCCTTTATAAAAAATATATTCAAAAAATGGAAAGTTGCAAAAGTCATGCCAATATTTAAATCAGGTAACATCCTGTTATCCATGCAGTTTCAAATAATAGTCTTATATCATTACTTAGATGTGTAGGGAACAATTTGAACGAGTAGTATATAAGCATAATTATAAATATTATTAAAAAAAACGACTTATTCAATCTGGATTTTTCAAACCATTCATACTCTCATCAACTTATTGAAATGAGTCTTCTTCTGTCATTAGAAAAAACGCACATCATTTGTATTTTGTGATTTCTCTAAAGCCTTCGATAGGGTATGGCACGCAGGATTACTTTATAAACTTAAACAATATGGCATCTCGGGCAATATCTTAAAATGGATTTCAGACTATCTTATGAAAAGAGAACAAGCAGTATGATTAACGAACCCGTATTCTCAGTTAAAACACCACTGCGGGTGTACCTCAAGGATCTGTACTAGGACCACTATTATTGTTGATATTTATAAATGAGATTTCTAAAGAACTTACTTCATTATCACGCTAATTTGCGGATGACACTTTACTGTCATATTCATCCCCTAATTTTGTTGATACAGAAACTAAAATATACTCTAACCTGAATATATTAGGAAAACGGTCGAATGACTGGCTTTTGACTTTTAATCCGACAAAAAACAGAAATCATGATAGTGACATTTCCAAATCTACCCTTTCAACCACAATTTTTCTTCAATAATACATCAGCAGTGATGGGAAATGGACAGAACATATAGGTTGTTCTTTTCGCAAAGCTTCCAAATATATTGCAACGTTAAGAAAACTTCAACTTACATTAAGCAGAAATAATCTTGATAAAATTTATCTGACATATATATATCCGACCACTTCTTGAATCATCCTCGATATCCAGGGGTTACGCTCACTTTCGATCTGCAGAGAGCGAAAGTGAGCGTAACCCCTGGATATCGAGGATGTTTTTGAATATGCATGTTATGTAAGGTATGTGCTAATTGGTGAAGTTAATTCATGAAACATTGAAGAAATCCAATAAGAAGCTGCTCGGACTATCACAGGGTTGCCCATATATACTAAACTGGAGTTACTATACACCGAAACGGGCTGGAAACCATTGTGCATAAGAAGAAAGATCCGTTAACTGTCAATGTTTTATACAATAAACAAGAATTCCACGAAAGTGGATGTGTCGCCTGCGCAGGAAGCTTGGAGATTACGAAGACATAGATACACTTTTCATTTCAAGAAATAACGTTAAAAGTTATTTACTATTTATAGTAACAGTGACATTGACCTTTGACCTTCGGACCTGAAAAGCAATGCCAAGCAAGCACTTTTGGTAAGGAAGCACTGCATGAAGTTTGAGTTTGATCGCCCCAAGGAAACTCAGGTTATCGCACGAAAACAGATTTTCTATTTATAGTAACAGTGACCTTGACCTTTGACCTTCGGACCTGAAAAGCAATCTCAAGCAAGCTCTTTTAGTAAGGAAGCACTGCATGAAGTTTGAGTTTGATCGGCCCAAGGAAACTCAAGTTATCGCACGAAAACATCTGCGCGGACGATGCCGCCGACGACGCAGACGCCGACATCGCAATACCTATGTGTCACCCGCTTTTCGCAGGCGACACAAAAATGATATTGTCCACGAAGACTTACGCGAATTTATGCCACCGATTATTTAAAACATGTCTAGATATAATTTAAGGAATGCACACCAATTAAGCATACCGAATTCTCGGTTGAAAATTATGCGAAATTCTTCTTTTTCAATCAACTATTAAAGCATTGAATGATCTTGACGAAAAACAATCCTCCGAAACCTTCAGCATTTTGAAAATAAACTTTAAAAATATTTCCTTACTTTTGGAACACGTTAATCTAACATATTACATTGTCGTTTAAGAAACCGTGCGAGTTCTCTAAACTATGATTAATTTTGAGCAAATTTAATTAACACTCCTGCATATAGTTGTGGGCATCCCTGTGAGGATTCGAACTACATTGTATTTTTTTTACCTGACCTTAATATAATCTATCCCCGTGTTTCACATTTTAGGTCAATGTCATGGTACCCTGGTCAAGTAAATATTGATCTTATACTGAATGGAGATATAATATATTGTCGTGAATTCGGTGTGTGTTATTCACACACCGTCACAACAAGTAGTTGCAAACGCTCTCAGCTCCTGAAATCAAAGACAAGGTGGAGGAAATTCACTCACGTGTTGCTGGTTCGATATCTAGAAGTATAAGAGACCGCGCCAACGCGTCACAGCGATGATATCACGTAGCTCACGAGATCTCGTGTCGGCGCGGTCCACGGTCCAAGGGAGATAACTCTCCCGAAATTCACCACACTCCTCCCCGTTTTATGAAGGTCCCTTC